AAGTTCGAAAACGACAATTATTATGATGCGATGACTTAGGGTGGTCTATAGGAACAAGACATTATGAGTTATTGCTAAAAGCCTGCGTGTGGTGTTTCTTATTGACAATTGTATTTGATGGTCGATCGTTATGATAGTCACTTGGACGTTTTACCTGGGTGTCATTATATAAGTCCCGTTTTTTTTTTTCTGCGTGCGTTTAGAATTTAAATTTTATTATAGTAAAATTTTTTTAAAAATAGTTATATTTAATTTTTTTATTATAATAAAAAATACACATAACATCATATCTTAACTCAAATTAAAAATTTGACTTAACGAATTAAATGAGAGCCAAAGACATATATATACTTCGTTACTTTTCTTTTTTCTATTGAAGTTTCTTTAACAGGAAAAAATGAATTGTGGATAGTTGTTTAATTTTTAACTGTTAAATTTTAATAAAAAATTATCTATTATGCATATTTTTTAATATAATGTGATGTTGATCATATGTTATCATATTAATTTTGAGTGTTGTTTGTTTCGGAAGGATATATATCAAGAAAAAAAATACAAATTTTGACAAATTTTAGAAAATGGAAAAGAAGAAATTATATTCCTCACACTATTTCTGAAGATTACAATGCATATATACAACTTGCACCTTTGCTAATCATGGGAAATAAAATAAAAAGAGATAAGTACAGCTAAGGAATAATATACAACGGAAAGATAGTTGACCACTGCTTGATTGGCATGAAAATTAGGAAATCAAATCAGAGGAGGATCAATGGTAATGAGAGTGGAGAGAAAAAGGCATATTATTCTTAACAAATTTAATAATTACTTGATGAAAATTTGATAGTTTAAAATGTGCATAGTATTACTATGTATTCTTTTTTTCCTTTCAATAAATTTTCCTTTGCTTTTACATTTCGATCTTCTTGACAAAAAAAAGTCCCAATGGAGAAATTTGCTTCTCATATAATTAATATGAAATAGTTTGTACCATTTAAAGTGCGATAATAGGAGGCCTTTTTTTTCTTTTCTTTTTTTTTTTTTTTTTGGTTTTGGCTAAAGCGATAGGGCAACTTTAATTAAATTAAAACATGCATGACCGGTTTTACCTAACATTTAACAACCAAACTTTACAAAAAATAAAAATAAGAAAAAAAAATTTATTGGACTGAAAATAATGTTAGTGACCATCTTTAGGCCACCTGATCTATTTTGTTTTGATTTAATCTGATTTAATTATATTGGATTAATGCATGGTCAGTACTAACACATATTTTAGTGAACTTTTAAACTGTAAAACCAGCAACTTTTGTCTATAATTCACATGACTTTATTCAACCTTTTAAGCGTTACAATACTTTTTTTCCTAACTTTATTACTATAGTCACGATTTTAAATCTTTGTCCATTGCCATCCAACTAAAGAAGAAAAAAAATTTCTAATTAGAAAAAGGAACCCAAAAAAAAAAAAAAAAAAAAAACCGGTCGAGGACAATTTCCAATGTTGAGAAAAAGCTTATATATATTTATAAATATGTGAGTTTTTTTAGGAGTAAAGCTTATATATTTAATTGTTTCGAACTAAAGTGGGATATTTGTTGCTTTATTGAACGATAAGGCAATAAGATTTGGTGTTTGTCGGATTGTCATAAAAAAATAACAAATTAAAAAAAAAATAACGAAGAAGAAGATCAAGAAGACCGAATGCCAATAACCAAGTAATTGGAAGCTAATTAGCCAACACAAAGTAAAGTGGTAAGCCAATGTAGCTCCAGACAAGAATTTGCTTTTTGTTGGATTATAATTAGAGGACTCTATATATAATGCCTATGTCCCATTCTTACATTTTTTTCACTTGCCGAAAAGGTGGCCCAAGCTTATATATCAAAAGAAGTGCAAAGACTATATGTTTTTCCCCCTCCAAAAGTAAATTATCCGGATCTCAAGTCCTTGTCACCAACAAAATGCTCCCAATTATAGAAAAGATCATGAGAAGACAAACTCTTTAGGCTCCCGAACATATGTATATTTACATGAAGAACTTTAAGAGGTTACTTATAGATATTGTATGTTTGTCATGTAAAATTATATCATAGTCACATCAGATCAAATGTATATTAACAAAAATAAAATATGATAAAAATATGATGATTTCAAACTTTGTAATTTAAATAAAAATATATTTTTTAATATCGTATCATATAATTCTTTGAGTCGACTTAAATGAATATTTTAGTATTGCATCAAAAGATTTTTTTTGTATGGATTTTGCAATATTGTTTTTGATACATTTTTAGATTTATGGCCTTTTCATTTTTGCTAATTCGAGTTGAGAATTTAAGTTGAAAAGTAAATTCATATGAGAAAAAATATTGTAGCACAAAAAGTTAAATTTAAATTTTTATAAGAGAAAATACTATAACAAAAATTTAAGTTGTAATTCGAACTAACAAAACCAATCAAGCCCAAGCTTTGTAGAAAAATGCTATTGAATATTGTTTTAGAGAAAAAGAAGAATTAAAATTTTGAATGCTCACAAGCTTTGTGGAGAAAAATGTTATTATTACTCATAAACGACATGTAGTTTATATGTCATAAAGAACCTGTCGTTCTTCATGATTGAGCACTAGTCGTTTTACATAGTACGCAAGCGACACATCGTACTTTGCATTACGAAACAACATGTATTGTAATACAGGAAACGACGTAGCATTTGGATTCAGCAAACGACATGTTATATAAACGACGCAGAACCAATGAAGCGTCGTAGAAAAAATTTGGCAAAGCTAGCGGTGGAGGGACCTTGACAATTTGGTGCGTTCATCTCATCCTACGGCTACAGAAATCTTGATTGCTTCCCAAGACAATATGCGTGTTGTTGTTGCGCCACGTAAGTACTGACGTAGGAGCTGCCGTACATTTTTCCATGTATTAAAATTAAGGGATAAAGAGGGAAATAAGAAATAATATATAATTAGTAAATTATAGCATATTATTTAAAAAAAATTATAATATAATTTGATATTTTAAGTTTTAAATATTATTAAAAATTTAAAAATACTTTCTACCTCACTCATCTCACCTAACGTTTTTTTTTTATTTTAAAAAATAATAAATTATAACATATTTTTTAAAATAGATAGATTATAGTCAAGTCTATCATAGTCGAGACCGGCGGCCAATTTTGGCGATCAGCTTCGTCAACCAGGGACTATTTTTCAGCGATCGGTGACTGTTCTCAGACAACTGTTTAACACTGTATTTATCCATAAATATCATATTTACTCAAAAAGTCGACCCCCAACTCTGACGACTGTTTAAAGTTGTATTTACAGGTAAATATCGTATTTACTAGTAAATATCATATTTACTCAAAAATCTAGTCACCGACTCCGGTGACCATTTAACATTATATTTATCGGTAAATAACATATTTACTAGTAAATATTATATTTATTCAAAAATTCAGGCACCGACTCCAGCGACTGTTTAACACTGTATTCACTAGTAAATACCGTAATTACTAGTAAATATCAACACCAAATATGACGACTGTTTAACACTATATTTACTGGTAAATACCGTATTTACTAGTAAATATCGTATTCACTAGTAAATATCATATTTATACGAAAATTTAGTCACTTACTCCGGCAACTGCTTAATACTGTGTTTACTAGTAAAAACCGTATTTATTAGTAAAATATCATATTTATCTGGAAATATGACCACTGATTCAAGCAACCGTTTAATACTGTATTTACTAGTAAATACCGTATTTATCAGTAAATATCGTAATTACTAATAAATAATATATTTATCTGAAAATTTAGGCACAGAATCCGACGACTGTTTAACACTGTATTTACCGATAAATACTATATTTATTTGAAAATTTAACTGCTGACTCCAGCTACCGTTTAACACTGTATTTAACGTAAATACCGTATTTACTAATAAATATCATATTTACCCGAATTTACTGCTTTTTATGTTATTTTAGAAATTTCTCTAAAATTATTAATTTTACAAATTGATCCCAAACAACTCGAAACAAACTTCCAACTGTCGTTTGAGCAAAAAAAAAAAAAAAAAATCTCACCGCCGTCCACCTTTTCCCAGTAGCCCCTCGCCGTCCATCATTCTCGGTTGGCAACACACCTGCAGCAAACATGAACAAAACACAGAGATCGGAGTCAACCAAGTCGTAACGACGACGATGTTCCCATGATCATTGGCGCTCTTCTTCATTGGCAACAGATGTTTTGCTCGAGATCGGAGGCGTCGAAATCTGAGGCTTAGCAACGATGTTTCTCTCGTGAGAGGGAGGAAGATTTCCGAAGCTCCCATCTGACAACGTTGCTCCGCTGCGTAGGGCTGTTCATGGGTTGGGTTAGTGCGGGATATGGTTTTTTCTTCCCCCACTCTAAAGGGTGCGGGTTGCACATATTTTGCCCCAACGATGTTAGAAAAATTTCACAACCCAATGATGTTTGGGTTGGGTTGGGGCGGTGCGGGGTGAGTTGGGTGGTCGGTTTCAATATTCAAAGAATCAAATACTCAAAGACTCAAAGTTCAATCCAATATTCAAAATTCATCATCAAATAGAAATAATAACTCTAACATTCAAACAGATATAAATTCAAAGTTTAATCCAACATCAAACATGAAGTAAAGTAGTCTATCCAACATCAAACATAAAGCAAACATAAATTAGTCTTAACATAAATCAAACATAGAGGTTTAATTCAAACACGAAGAAACTAGAGAGTAGAAATGAGTTGCTTGTCTATGATTAGATATTAGAGGAGACAAGTTAGAACGCGAATTGAGTTGCGGTGTGTGGGCTATTATAGGCCCAACCCACACCCTACCATAAAACTTCAAGCTAGACATTGAATGGGCCGAAAATAAATTTCAATACTAAAAATTGTATTTTTCAAGTTAAGTTGGGGTGAGGTGGGTTGAGACTGTGAATTTTACGGGTTAATGAATAGCCCTACCGCTGCGAACCAAATCGGAAGAAGAAGAGGGTGGAAGATCTTTGGTGAACGAACCAGAGATGCAGATGCAATTGTCCGACTCCCATAATCATTGTTGCCGGAGTCTGCCATTCGCGAGGAGTTGTTGGAGAACTGAGTGAACGACGGGGAGAGAGAGATTGACGACTGTGTGAGGGGTGAGAAACAAATGATGAAAACCATAACAGTAAGGGTAAGTTTGGAAAATATTGATTTATTTTAAAATGAATAATGAATATATACTATAATTTACTAAGTTTTAAAAAACTTGCAATTTACTTCAAAAAATCATATCTAGAATATGCTATTTGTTATATTTTCCCCAAAATTAAAATAATGCCCACTGGATAATAAATAAATAAAATAAAAACATATAAACAGTTGAGAAAAGAAAGCCAAGCGAAACTTGTTTATCGTCAAACCAAACCACGAAGGAAGTTTCATCGTGTCTGATCAGAAAAGCTTCTCTCTTTGTCTTTGGAATCGTTTTCAAAGAGGTTTGATTTTGGTCTCTGATTTTAATTTGCACTCAATTTACTTTAATTTTTAATTAGTTTCTTTTTGGATAATTTTAGTTTTGATTTAATCAGGATTATCTATTATCATGTGCTTATAAATTGAATTAAAAATGTATAAAGGTCGGCCCAGTACGTGATCATTCTGAAAATTTTAGTTCTCGATGATTGCACTGACTTTAAAAGAAGTTTCTTGTTTATTCCCTATAATTCGCTTCAATAATTTTTTTAATTATTTTTCTCAAATTTAGTTAAGGGATTTGTTTCTGAGACGACTGATGTATAGTTTACAGTTTGCTTTCTGTTTTTCCAATTTTTTTTTTTTTTTTTGTTGAAAAAAGAGAATTTTCCCTTTATTCATTTATTGATTGCTGATGCAATGCCGTTGTTATCAAAGGTGGAGGAATAAAAGAAGAAGAAGAAGCAGAATAAAAAAAAAAAGCACATATTTGTTTGTTAAATTTCGTTTTATTGTTTTGTGAACTAGTGGGTTTTGTTTTTTCCACTTATATTGGGAGCTAATTTTCAGGTGGAATGGCAAAGAGCTACTTCAAGCAAGAACATGATCTTGGTATGTACTTGCAGTGTTTGTGTGTGGAATATTGTTGCAGTTAAATGTTAGTATGTGGGGATTTGATACTGAGTCCAGTAAATTATGTTAGTATGTTCTGTTTTATCTTCAGAGAAGCGACGAGCGGAGGCCGCAAGGATTAGAGACAAGTACCCTGACAGAATCCCGGTGAGATTTCTGACGAAACACAGGAATTACTTTCTTTTACTAAGGTGTTTAGTGTTGGTTCATTTGTTGGATTGACAATGTGTTGAAATAGAGAACTCTTTGTGATAGTAAATTACTTGGAGGGTTCTGCTCTCTATGGTTATATGACTATTAAGTTGTCTTGTTTGGTGGGGGAAAAGTGGAAGAAAGGGATAACGATGAGGGATCGGCGGATGGATTTTAAGACCTACGGTTGTTTGGTTGGAAGTATTAGAGGAGAGAATCAAAATACCCCACATGTTCCAATTTCGATCACTTCAAAATTAGGAAGGATTCCATTGAAAAAGGTCCTCCTTTTCCTCTCAATTTTATTTACCTGAGTTATATACCTTTTCTTTCCTTACTGCCTATTATATTTCCCACTTTCCAAACAACCATATGTGATTTCCTATTGGCAGCTATTAGCTATAGCTCGGTTGAGTTTGGATGCTGTAGTTATTTGACACAAATACGTTGTTTAGAGTTGCATCAATTCAATGAGGAATTTGATTCTTTCTTATTCTACTTCCGGCTTTACTTATCTTAGTGGTATTCTGGAATTACTTTTGGTTTTCTTACTGACTTGTGCATAAAACTTACTTCTGTAATTTTAAGGTGATTGTGGAGAAGGCGGAGAGAAGTGATATTCCAATTATTGATAAGAAAAAGTAAGATTTTGCATTTTATTATTTGCGTTTCTAGATTTCCATGTTCCTAATTTATTTTTTACATGGTTTTCTTCGGCTCAAAGAGTTTTTTGATTTATGCAGGTTTTAGCATAGTTAATTTGGTACCATCGAGAATTGTATAGTAGTAGACTGTACATGTTTACTTTAATGTCTCTAAATTCTTTCTCCTCCTCCTTTGTTGGCTATGATTATGTTTGTATGACCACAGTCAATTTGGCTTCTGAGTTGCTTTGTTGCTGCTTTGATACTCTTTAAACTTTTTCGTTATTATTTTTTTTAAGCCTTTCATTTTCTCTTAAAGCACTTGGCCTTTTTTTACACGTCTTTTGATCGAACTTGAATTGGAAATTACAGGTACCTTGTCCCGGCTGACCTAACTGTGGGACAATTTGTTTATGTGATTCGGAAAAGGATTAAACTAAGTGCAGAAAAGGCAATCTTTATCTTTGTGGACAATGTTCTCCCACCTACTGGTAAATGTTTGTAAATGTTGCCCTCAGATTTTGATGCAAGTTGGGAGGCTTTTCAATTTTGACGGGGTCCATGAGGAATCACCGTTTGTTTTGGCTTTTGCAGGTGCAATTATGTCTGCCATTTATGAAGAAAAGAAGGATGAAGATGGATTTCTTTATGTCACTTATAGTGGAGAGAACACTTTTGGTTACTAAGATCCTACTTAACTCTGGTTCACGGAGCTTATTCTATTTGACTTCCGCAACCACCATCTTATTTCCCTCTGCTAATGCTTTACTTTTCCTTCTATATCTGAAACACCTTGCTGGTAATATTGTGTACAGTTTTGTGTATATATAACTACAAGTATTTCCTTAATGGTAAATATGGTGGTTTTTTATCACCTAGTGGCATCTTTACACACTCTGATAGAGAAACATGCATGTGCTTCTCTCTCTCTCTCTCTCTCTCTCCAAACTGTAATGGGAATTACTATTTGAGTTTTTGACCATAAGATTGACACCTTGTGGATAAATGGAAAGAAGTCTTTTGGAGGAGAAATTTGAGTTTTTGACCAATTCCATTGCCCACCAAGCTTGCTAGACTAGTATCATTCCTTGTCCCCCCTTACTTTCTTTCGGTTCGTCGGTAAGATTTCTCAGACCAAGTATCAACATTCAGCACACATTTTAAATGATGTCAATCTGTCGCGAGGAAATTCTTTGGGCATCATCTGTTCTGTCATGACGAAATTGTGTTGTTTAGCACCTTATGTGAGTTGTGTCGAACAACGTTGATGCCCAATAGCACTGCTCATTTAAAATTACATTCGTCGCAACATTGTCCCAAACATAATTCATCTCATCTCAGAAACACCTCTTCCAAACTGTCTCTGACGGGGTTTGGGGACAAGTTAGGACGTCTTGATGATTGTTTGATTTGATGAGCACGTCTTAATGCTTGTTTCATTTGAGCCAAGAAACATTGCAAAGGAAAAAAAAAATGTTGCAAGAACTTCAGACGTGTTAGCCATTATTTGTTTCGATTGGTCAGTTTCATGATCCAACTATAGTAGCTAAGAACCTCTGAAACATATAACCTATATATTAACCTATATTAATATGAGAAATGGAAACAAAATTAGATGAGCTTTAGGGAACAGTAAACCCATGAGTGTAGGGCGGTCCAGGGGATGATGTGGAAGTTTGCACCACGTCTGAAGCACATGCACTACATGCGATGTTGGCGTGCATTCCCATAACCCACGATGGTGGAGCCAACCTTGGAAGTTTTGGACCCTTTGTTGTCCCAAAAGGAAGTTGCAATTGACGGGTTAGCCATGCCTCTTTGTCTCCCCCCTTCCTCCAATGTCCCCACCTCCCACTCACATCTAGGTTCCATTTGCTCCAGCCTTCTTTTTTCCATTAAAACCACTCTTCTTCTGTTAATGATAAATTTCATGATCAACATCATCCTGTGGCAATTTGAGTCATGACACGGAAATAACACGCATTAAGCTAACGGGTTTAAGCAAATGAGTTTAGGTCATAATCAGTGTTGAGTCGGGGGCGAGGTTAGGTAAGTGGCAGAAGGCCATTTGAGAATGAGGAAGTGATTTGTGGATGTGCATGAAGACGACTACTAGCTAGATGCTAGGATATGCCTTCTGATAAGTGATTAGTGTTTTATTTAGTATGTCATCTATGTTAATTATATTTAATTATCTTTCTCTCTCCTAATTATATATTTTTACCTCAATTGTTTATGGTCACAAATATCATATAAATTCTACTTGAATCTTTTACATTAATTAGAATTGGCATGAACAAATAATTTAAATATTAACTATTCATTGAACCGACGTATTATGTAGGCATGATAATAAAGTACATCGAACAAATTCTCATCTTATCATACGTTCATTCTTGTGTAAAAAGTACAAAGTTGTGAGTGAAAACACGGTGGAAGGAAGGACTTAGTAGTTGCAACCCATAAACTTCTAGTTATACATCACTAGGACAAGGAATGGGAACTCTTGTATAAAAACACATGGGTAGGACCAAGCTTCATTTCCTCGTGTTAGTTTGCGGATTTTACTTCTTGGACTTTCCAATAAATTTATCTACCTACTTTGACTTAGTAACTGATAATTTGACTTTCTCGTGATCCCATTTTATCTTCTTGTAATATCTGTCTCCAAGTCATGTTCTGATCTTGTTAGAATATTTCTTATTAATTAGAACATAATTATGGATCACCATAGTAATTGATTGTTTCTGAATTAATCTCTCTTTCTAGAATTTGTCTGTCTCTCTTAATTCTTGCTCAAATATTGATTTGCATATGCATACACACACACAGAGATACATATCTTTGACTACGTAGCTCTATAATGGATTTGTCCTTCATAGAGTGGGGTTCATGAGTGATTTAAAAAGTGAGTGAGGAAGGGAGACAAGGGAGGACCCAAATATCTTCAATTTCGTTCTCAATGTTCATCACACAAACACCAGCATGTTCTCTTAAAGAAAGTCTCTCTTCCAATACACAACCTGCATTTAATGCTCTTCTGTTTCTCCCTCACTACAAATACTCTCGGAACCTCCAATACTGAAACTCACATTACATATCAACTTGCAAAATTAAGCTTCACTAGTATAAAATATATATACACAACACGCACACACCAAAAGACTTGAATAGGAATATCATTTCTCATCCAGCTTATAGTTAACACACACACACACACACACACACACACACACATATATACATATATTATCTCTCAAGAAATATACATCATCATGTCTTCTGTTGCCTTTCTCTTTCTCCTATGTCTTGCTTGCTCTTTGCATGCATGCAATGCTCGTCTTTTGGCCTCTAGTGACAACCAAATTGGCCAAAAATCCTACCATTTTGCTAAGGTTGGTATTGAAGCTTAATTCTGTCACATTTGTAATATATCCCTAGCTAGCATTATGATGCATGCCAAAATTAGTAGTTCTCTAATTCTAGATGCATGCAAAATTTAGTATTATATTCTAGTATGGCTCTCTTTTAAATTTTCTTTTTGTTATTTTTAAGAAGAAAAAAACGTAGTCATTTATATATTCAGGCCCTAGATCTTCATAAGTGCACTGAACCATGGACATATGCCTGTATAATTAATTCCATGGAATTGTTTGAAAAGCATTTTCAACTGATTAGTGCTGCTCGTGAAGTTTTGGAAAGAAGACATAAATATTGATCAATAGAATTCTCTCTCTCTCTCTCTCTCTCTCTCTCTCTCTCTCTACACACACACACACACACACACATATTGTATGTATATCTCATGTATGTGATACTAAATTATTAGGGTTTGGTGCAGGAAGTCGAGAAGGCCAAACTGTCTGATGAGACTTCAAATCCGCAGTCAAATATGAAGGCTGATCTTTCAATCCCATCAGTAGAATGCTTAAGGCAGGATCATCAAGCGAAAAGCAATGGAAGAACCAGAAATGAAAATCGCTGTGCAAATGCTTTGAGATTGGAAATTTTAAGGCTCAATTTGGAAAAACATGATGCTCAACCGTCAGTGGATGATGGAACAACCTCAGGTTGTCTTTAAATCAACTCGTCTTTTAATTATTATATATCATGTTGAATGATAACTCCTCGTGCATGCCTAGCTGATCGATAAGAATAAAATGGACTAAACTGCATTCTAGACTAACATCAAGCATCAACTAGTCCATCACAATCATAGTTTCTCAACCTTGCAAAGATTAATTGCCATAAGATATATGGGTGTGTATAATCACTTTTTCATGAACAAAACGAAAGTATATCAAATGGATCTAAGTACCGGGGGAGACCATCCATGAATAACATGATTTATCAAGTATGCGAAAGAAGAATTAAAGTACCATCAATATTAGAACAACAAAAATAAAAATGTGTGTGTGTGTGTGTGTATATATATAGATATATAATCGAAATAAATTGACCCATAAATTCTTATGGCTTTTACATAGATTTCTTTAAGTTAGAGTACGTAAGAGTACGTAATGATCACACAAGGAAAAGGATATACAATTTGTTTCTGACATATTGTTAGTTTTCCTAATTGTCGTGGTTGTTGTTGATCTTACAATATTATATATTGTTTTTAGGCTATTATTGGGTCTCATTAATATTTCTGTGATATGATGGATTAATGATATATATTGGTGGGATCTGCAGGAAATGGCATTACAAAATCATTTTCTCAGATGGAGTTGCAACAATCGATTATTGAAACGTCAAAGGTATATCATTATGTATATAATATATGTATATATTTTCTTTCCTCTTTTTTTTTTTTTTTTTTTTTTTTTAATTCCAATAACCTATAGTTAAATCATACTGGGACCAAACTCTTGGCCATATACTTCACCAATCATGTCCCTAATGAGGAAAGCATAGCAGATGGTCCGTCCATGCATGCATCTCATAAGTAGTAGTACAAACAGTATGCAATCATCCATATATATATGCATAAAACAGGACCGTACGATGCGATCAAGATACGACCAAAAAAGTAAAAAAGAAAAAGAAAATTAAGTCTAGCGTTATATGGTGAATTGTGCGGATTCAATGGATCATATGTGCAACATGTGACTCTTTTTTGGATAATTGACATTGTTAGTCCTGAACTTTGAGTATCGTAACAGTTTGGTCTTTGAACCGGGGAGGAAAATTAATTCGTTCTTATATCACCTCAACATTAACACACATATCGTAATAGCTACTCACCGAAAATGATATACGCTAATAGCTACTCACCAAAAAAGATTAATGAGTTTGGTTATATATTGTGGTCTTATAGGGACAAGAGGGACATGGAAGGTCAATGCTAGGATTTGTTCCACAAGACACGGAAGAAGCTGTCGATACCAAGGAAGGGGACGCTGTTGAGGACATAGTAGTCATGGATTATGCTCAACCTCACCGGAAACCGCCGATTCACAATGAAAAACCCTAGATTTTCCGCCGATTCACAACCAAAAACCCTAGACATCACCACCACCAAGCATCTTCCTATAAAAATATGATATACTTTGTTCTTAGGCCTATATTTATGAATTATACAATAATTTCAGAAGAATAATTAATCCATTGCTTAAAAAATGTATTGCATAAGAAGAACAATCCCAAACTTTTCTTTTTCTTTTTTTTGTTTTTACGACATCTTCATGAATGAGAATTCACATGGTACTGTTTTGGTAGAATTGTAAAAAAATCAAATATTATATCTAGAAAAAGATAATCAGTTAGTGGACAATCCAGTGTGATGGATAAGGGCTACTTGCAATGTGTGTGTACCTTTTATTTTATTAAGTGGGAATAAATGATTGTGAAGAAGGAAACATATGCCCATGGCATATGTTGCCAATTGTTGTGAATCTGTTGGTTGGTATTCTTAAATGAAAGAAATAGCAATCTTCTTTTCTGGCTGCTAGTTTCTCCATTTCAGTTGATCTGTCTTGTCCTAACTCATGGTAGGGACATGACTTGAAAACATGGGGAGAGAGACGAGAGATTTTTGAGAGATCTCCTGCAACATTAAATTCATAATACTTGTTAGGACAATTCTTGAAGTGATATGAAAAAAAAAAAATACTCTACTGGTAGGACAGTTTTTAATCATCTAATCACATCAATATCATATCAAGGGAAATATGATAATATAACAATTGATGAAAATACGGTTCAAAATGAATAGAGATCTATGGCAGAAAGGTATATTTTAAAACCATATAATTCTCCTACTTATGCATTAAAAAAGAAGTTATAGTAGCGAATAAATCAAAATATTTCGTTCACTAAAACTAAATGAAAAAAAAAAAGAGATAAATGAAGCCTGAACATGAAATTCTTAAGCAAGATATCAAAACCTAGTACTGTAGCAAAGCAACACATATTATATTCCGTTGCAAATCGGGTGTACAAAGCATGATGACATGATGAAATAAAGAATATGGAGTGGCTCAGTTGTATTAAATAAAAAGGCCAATTATGTTACCTACCTACCAAAAACAAATGGCGCAAATTGATGCATAGTGGTATAGTCTAAGATTCATGTGTCACCTTCGCCAATCTTGTCCATGGAAACAATATGAGACATGGCCTAAACACACATTTTCTGACGTGGGCCATTCATCCCATTTGAAGTTATCAATAAAAAAATACAAAATATGACAATCTCTCATCCTAGCTATCAGCTATAACCAAAAAAACAAGTACAAAATTTTCAGTATTTTGTGACTACTGAAAACTTGAAAGAATGAATTCCTAGTTCTAATAAGGAAAAATGTTCTCCTGGCACAAAACTTATGTGATATAGGCAATTTTCCTGGCTTCTTTAGGGCGATATTGTTAGATATTGAATTCTGCAATCAAGTCTTGGTGGGTTTTCTGGGTAATCAAGTACCACTACAGCTGACAATGAAAGGTTTAACAAAGTTGATAAAGTCGGAGGTCCTAATGCCCAGCTTCAGATCAACCTCACCGCCGCCCAGCCAGAAGAAGTTGGGGTTAAGCTTCACAATCGCTTCATCCAAAATCACCTGAAATCACACCAAGAATCAGATTAACGAAGGGAGATTTTATTCGAGAATATACTCTCTCTATATATATAACCTTGCATCAAGTGTTTCCCAACAATTTCAAACATGAAATGGTGTCCCCCTACAAAAATGAATGTGCAAACAAATGCTAGAGGTTTTCTGCTGTCCAAAAACCTAGCTACACTATGCTAACCCAAGTAAGCGTCAATCCCTTATTGTTGAAGTAGAAGACTGGCTGGCAGATTATTATTGATTGAAACAACCAATAAACTGGACCACCATATTAAAATCTAAAATATAACACTCCAGGATGGAGCTTTTGACATACGAGATATTCGGAACAGTGGACCAGCCAAAAGCTAGCATGAAAGTTGGAAAAGACTTGACCGGTCTCATGGGGTGGAATATGCATTTCAGACGTAAAATATGTAGTCAGCATTCTAGCAGGAAAAAGAAAAGAAAAAAAAGAAAAAGAATATGTAGCTATCACGACATACATAAACCAACAACACTAGCTTAACCCAATACCCAGCAATCGAACCTCAAGGGCCAACGTGTTAGAGCTATTTCTAGCATAAAGAGACAATCAAGCAACTTGTCATAGAATATGTTCCAAAATGCATGTGTTAAAAAAGAAATCCTTCGACAACCTTAAGAAACAATCTACGCATTAGACATGTCAGAAGTTCAGAAATCATATTAACTTGCAAGGTAAACTTGGATGAAAGTTCAGTTCAGGTTCCCTCATCTCTCTGAGCCATCCTCGAATTTTTAGTGTCTCTTAATCGTTGGTTCATCACTTGAAGGCATACATAACATGAGTGCCCAAAACATCATTTCAAGGGCCACGTCAATATGGAGTATGTTGCTTCTACGGACGTGACAAAACACTAACTCTGTGAAAAGAGTACTTACCGGTATGTCTGTCTTCATGCCAATACATGTCACTGCATTGTGCTCGTATCCAGTCAGCTTGATTGAAGTCTCCTCAGGTGCAAGCCTCACTACATGTAACACAAACAAGTATCAGCTTCTGAGTCAGAATTTGATCCCAAAAGCATCTAAACTCTCAAGATATTCTTAAGATCAACAAAGAACACAAGACAAGTCAACCTCGTAAAAACACTTTCCACTAGTAAAAAGAAAGAAGGTAAGTTATGGGTATAAAACAACTATATTAAAGACCTAGAATAATACATAGTATATGAAGAAAGGCAGCTGAAAACCTAATAGGCCCTTTTTAGGGATTGCTGTGAATTTTGGGTTTATAGGTTAATTGCAGACTTGAAGAACGAACTTAAATGCAAGTAAAAACAAGTGTATTCAAGTCAACAAATTGCTTCCGTGAATACAAGAAAGTGAAATAAAGTTAGATGCATTACTTATATGGCGCAAAACTTACAGTTGAATTTCTTTTTTGCTATCTTGCCATCATTGAGTGAATACAGGAAGTTTTTAACAGTTTCAGCATTAAATCGAGCGGTGTACTGCAAATAATAAAATCCCTAAAGTCAAATGATGATCAGGTAGCAGGTAAGATAGGCAAGTCACTAATCTAGTTTTTTAGTACAAAAAAGAGTCACCTGGACGACAACAACATAATACTTTGAATTGTTGTGATCACTACAATCAGTAACATTGGATTGGGCTTGTGTATTCACCTGTTGGAGAGAGAAATTTGTTAGACCCTCATCACACCAAAAAAAAAAAATTGGAGGGGGAGAATCTTTTAATGACTTTGATGTAAACAAATCCAGTGAATACAAGTCAGAACTGAAAGATAAGATAGTTCCAAACAGATAGTCCTTCCACTGCTACCATAATCATAAAATTCCCACAATCTGCTAATGTCTAATCTTGAAGTTCAGACAAGCCAATTCTATTTACTTTTATCATCACAACGTTGCTAATGTCTGTCTTTTCTTAGAAAATATCATCAACTCTTAAAAAAAAAGGTATCTTCCATTTTTCACGTCATGAAAATACCCTAACAACCTACTTGCCCCGAAACAATAAAAAAATTGTGATTTAAATCGTCACTTACCAAATGACTCTGTCTAAAATCATATGATTATTTATCTTTACGACCACAGTTCAAGTTTTCCTTCAGGTTTCAATTTGTTCCTCTAAAACTCCCACGTCGTTATCAAACATTGAAACTGAAAATTATTCATTTTGCAAAACTAACTAGCTTGACAACATCATTCCAGCCCTACAGGACTTCATTAACAAATTTACTAAATCAAACAACTTCAAGAACAAAATTTCTCATCAAATTCACTCTGTAGCAAACATAGGTTCACGTCCCTCTTCAAACCAACATTTTTACATATAAAGATTTAGGTGACGTTTGTTTCAAGGGTTTTGTCTGGTTTAAGATCATGGTTCTTGGTTCTGCTACATTGTTTTTCTCTCACAAAAAATTTGAATTTCAAGAATCAGAATCATGGACCATGGTTTTGAATTCATGAACCAAATGTCACCTTAGGCTTCCACAAAAAGATTCAGACTTTATCTAGAAACTTATAACCATGTAATTTTGTAGGACCTTAAGTTCAAATTTATCCTTTGGGTTTCAATTTCTGCATGCTTTAATGCTCCACATTAGTACCAAAATTGAAACCGTCAAAACTCATTTCTGAAGATTAACTAGATTGGCATCTCCATTCCAGCTGCTTCTACTTTATTAAGTTATTTTAGGTTTTTGAGTAATAATTTGAAGATCAGCAGCACAGAATGAAATTTCCCATTAAATTCACTTGATCACATTTGTGATCACATTAAATAGAGGTTCACTTTCACGCATTAAACCAGTTCCCCTTCCAAGCTAACGTTTTTATACATAAAGCTTCAAACTTTCCATCCAACAACGGAAATGCAAATGCAAATGAAGAGTAATTGCAACAACGGAAATGGAAACGAAAAGAACATTGCCAGAGCGATGCTTTTGCAGAGATAATAACCAAATTTTACTCATACTGCTGTCGAAATTGAAACTGTAAATTACTCAATTCTCAAAACTAAAGTTAGCGTTTTTAGTTCTATAATAGAAACCCTAGCCCAAAAAAAAAGGAAAAGAAAAAAAAATGCAGAGGAGGGATAATATATTACCAGAACAATGCTTTTGCAGAGATGATCGACGGAGGCGGCACCGAGAGCGCGGCGGCGATCCTCGAGAGGCCAGTCGTAGTAATCGGACGGAACATTCTTCAATGCGAAATCGTTAATGCCGTGATTCCGGAGAATGGAGGAGAGGCGGGCTTCGGTGTCGCTCTCGGCGTCGGAAATCGTGGCGGCGGAGGGGGGCAAATGGAGGGAGAGCTCTAGCTCTGATATGCGGCGGAGAATTTGGGTTTGGATCCTCTCCAGCTCTGCCACTGCCACTGCCACTGCCTCTCCTCCTCCTTCCATTGTTGATTGATAGTTTTGTTCAGTTTCACCTGTGTTTTATCTTTTCCTCTTTATTGCTTTGCTTTGACATTTTGACTCTTTTGAAACGACGCTCTCTCAACTGTCGTTCCGGAACAATGTTGTCGTTGTCGTCCAGTCTTTGCAACCTGCTCCCTCATTTTGACCCTTTGTTTACTTTACCATTTTACCCCTAACAGTACCCGTCCATATAAACTTTGGAAATTACACAAGAGCCCCATTTAACATTTCTTTTTCTTTCCCATCCTTTCATGCCTCCTCACAACATAACTCAAATTGCATATTTTTCCTAAAATTGTGAAACAGTTTTTTATAGTTGATTAATGAAGCTCTCAAATGCAATGCACTAAAATTTCAATCTTTGGCGCTCCATCATTTCTATTTTCTGGTAGCATAATTGGTCAACATCGTCGCATCACTTTTTTTTTTCCTAGATTTCTAAACGACTTCATAGGCTAATGAGAAATAATTCTTGAGTTTTTTTCCTAACTGAAGCTTCCAATGAGTCGGTGGGAATCTTCCAAAGTAACATGAAACTATAATGGAAGATGGTTTCAAAGTTTTACTCGCCCCTAGTTTTCTCGCAAATGGTGGTTTTCTTTTTCCTTGCCACCCAAGATAACGTCAAAACTAAAAAGCATGCAAAAGGGGAAAATTCCACGGAGAGTCAAGAAGGGAATTATGGATTGGCCCCAAGAAAAGTGGAAAACACGAAAAGGAGAGAGGAAAATCTTGATATTATATTGTCATTGACTCATTCATTGTCCAACAAAAATCTAGTACTCCCTTTCCACATTCTAAAATGACGAATCTAACAACCACCGCCCCATAAAAACTCCCACCTGCTGGCTGCATGGCTAGTTCTGTAATTCCAAGGAGCATACCGTAATCTAGTCACGTGATGACCCTACGGGTACAACATTTGATTTTTTTATTTTGATTTGAAATAATTTGATTTTGGCCGAGTCTTTTGAAATAAACAGGGATAAATACTTTATTTGATTTTCGTTATTGGATTTTCTCCGGTAATTTTTTTAAAAATAGATTATTAATAGTATCTTACTATTTAGTTATCAGAATTTTATTTTATTCTATATATTTTTTAATTTAATATAATTTTAATTAAATTTAACGGTTAAAATTAAAATTATTAATAAGACGGATTATCAAAAAAGCTCTTTATATGTAAATTACCGAAAAATCTCCTTATATGTAAATTGAAAGAAATAAAATGAGTAATTGAGAATTGTAATTTATTCAAGTTTAGAAAAAAGAATTGTAATTTATTATTAAGAATATTTAAGTAAATTTGAACAATAAAAATATAAATAAAACTTCTATGCAATTTGCAAAAAGGGTTTATATTTCTTCAAAAAAAAAAAAGTACATAAAAACACTCAAATCTAAAGATTAGTCTTCAAAAAACATGTCAAAAGAGGCCAAACTAATCCATTCACAGGAGATAACCGGAACCCAAAAACTTTTAAATTGTGGTAAAGAAATGAGAACTTTTGTGGTTTCGTTTTTCCGAAAAAAAGACCTTCGAGAAAAAAAAAAAGATTATAAAACATCTAATCTAAAAAGAAATGAAAAAAGACCGTAGAAAAATCCCAAAACTGATGGCTTCATTCATCCCACTATAAATACGAACTCCGTCTTCCCAATCCTTTGCAACACCACCAGAATCTACACAGATTTTACAGAGATTTCCACAAGTTAGTTAGTATGCAGAAGAGTGAGTCAGCTTCGTCGCTGGGCCCGGGTGGGCTGGACCTGTCGGAGGCCTTCTTCCGGCCCATCGCAAGCGCCGGTCCACCCTCCCCGACCAAGCGCCACACGAAGATCTCCGTGATCGGCGCCGGAAACGTCGGGATGGCGATCGCACAGACGATCCTTACACAGGACCTGGCCGACGAGCTCGTCCTCGTTGACGCCAAGGCCGACAAGCTCCGCGGCGAGATGCTCGACCTCCAGCACGCCGCTGCCTTCCTCCCCCGCACCAAGATCCATGCCTCCGTCGACTACGCTGTCACGGTCGGCTCCGATCTCTGCATCGTCACCGCCGGCGCCCGCCAGATCCCCGGCGAGTCCAGGCTCAACCTCCTCCAGAGGAACGTTGCTCTCTTTCGGAATATCATTCCTCCACTCGCCAAGTACTCGCCGGAGACGATTCTGCTTATCGTCTCCAATCCCGTGGACGTCTTGACGTACGTCTCCTGGAAGCTCTCCCGGTTCCCGTCGAATCGGGTAATCGGATCAGGTACCAATCTGGACTCCTCGCGGTTCCGGTTCCTCATTGCGGATCACCTTGATGTCAATGCTCAGGATGTGCAGGTGACTTAATTTTTTCATTTTTTATGATCAATTTTTTTATTTAATTTATTAGCTACCAAAAAAAAAAAAATATATATATATATATATATATATTTGGTCGTCGTGCCACTGATCCTTAACCACTAGTGGAATGTTTTGGATTGTAAATTGCAACTTTTTGTTTGGGGGTGGAAAAATAAATTGCAACTTGGCAAAAAACACATGGAGCTAGAGTGTTTGGCTTCTGAAAAGTTGTCGGGCAAGGCAATTTTATAAAGCCAAGTGAATATTTTTTTATTCCTTTTGTGGATTAGTTTGATTCAAGCTTAGAGCTTGTTTTCACGGTGCATATGGTCTTTCTTCGATTTATTTGTCACTTACTTTATTATAACAAAAGTAGTAATCCAAATTAATGTATAATGAAAAACTAAGATATTATGCCAGTGATGCAGGTGTATTAAATGATTTGCACACTCTTAATTATGCGAAAGAGAACACACAAGTGTAAAGGCATATATGCACATGAGGTCATCGTTTGTAACTCAGTGGATTAAAACTGCTTAATATATGTATATTCCTTTTTTTGATGAACCTATTATGTAACGCTTGTAAGGTAAATATGAATGTAGGCATACATGATTGGGGAGCATGGTGACAGCTCAGTGGCGCTATGGTCTAGCATCAGCGTCGGGGGAGTGCCGGTGCTGAGCTTCTTAGAGAAACAACAAATAAGGTACGAGAAAGAAACACTAGAGAACATTCACAAACAAGTTGTAAACAGCGCCTATGAAGTGATTAGTCTGAAAGGCTACACCTCATGGGCGATAGGCTACTCGGCAGCTAACCTAGCTCGGAGTTTACTCCGAAACCAGAGGAAGATTCACCCGGTCTCGGTCCTTGCTAAGGGGCTCTACGGCATTGACGGCGGAGAAGTGTTCCTAAGCTTGCCTGCACAACTTGGGAGGGGTGGTGTCTTAGGAGTCACTAATGTGCCTCTCACTGATGAGGAGGCACAGAAGCTTAGGGACTCGGCTAAAACCATCTTGGAAGTGCAATCTCAGTTGGGGATTTGAATATGGAGACACTTTTGTGGCAGATTTAAACCCAACTTGTTGCTTTTATTATAACCTTTTTGGTTTATGTTACCTACTTGTATTTTTGGGAAGCCTGAGGTCTCTAGTTTATTTTGTCTTGTAAGAAACTAACCAATGGTCGGGCACTTTGATCCTCAAATATAGATGAATTGTTAACCCAACAATTTTAGCATGTGATGTCTATTTAAAGGAGAATGAGGTTGGCTTGTTACTTCAATCTCATTTTTAACTTATTTAGCTTGCTTTTAACTACTTGAATGGTTTTTTTTTTTTTTTTTTTTTTTGAATCATGAAAATGCTATTGTTCTCTCAATTACTCTTTAAAATAAATGTTTCTCAATATATAGCTATCTATAATTTTGTAATCTATTCTCACCTTAAAATAGAGAATAAGTTTCTCTTGGGGTGTTTTGTTGCTCCTCATATTTCGTTACATCTTTAGTTTTTTTTTTTTTTTAGCTTTGTTTTTCTTCTTCTTTAAATTTTCTTAAGTTTTTTTTTTTCTTTTCTTCTCTTCTCTCATCTTTTTTTATTACATCTTTTAACATTTGATTTTTATATATTTTCAAATATATATCCTTTAAATACTTTTCTTATGGTTATTTAAAATATTATTTTTTAATTACTTTACTAAATTAATTAATTCTCATATGTGTCTTTACATAAACATCATTTTCTTGTGATCCTCATAAATTTCAACTTCAATTGTGAAACATTTTGCACAAATTTTATTTCAACTTCAATTGTGAAACATTTTGCACAAATTTTTTCTTAATTTTTGTCTTTTTTTCTCGGTCTTTTACTTCAGATTTTTTATTCTTAGTTTTGTCTTTATTTCTTTTTTCATTTCTTTTTTCTTTCTCTTTTTTTCTCCGCGAATTTGTATAATTATTCTTTTAAATGAGTCAGGTGAAATACTCATTTTTTAACTAGTATTATATATGATATCACTGGTGTTAGATTTGACTTATATCTGACATTAAATTTAACATTATTCTTAGACATGTTCCAGACTTCTGAGTAGGGGTGTAATTCAGCCGGGTAGGATCGGGTTGGGCTGAAAAATTAGGCTGAGCCGCACAGTGCGGGTTGAGAAAATTTTAGGCCGCAACACCTTCTTAAGCCCACAAACCCGTAACCTGTCGGGTGACCTCGTGTAGGCTTAGGTTACTCGGGTTGGCAGGCTTGGGCCCTGGACATTGAGCCTGTGTCCAAAGGTTGCTAAAGCAATTTTCTTCCTAAATTCACATGCTATCACGTGAATCTTTTACTAAATTCACATGCTATCAACATCCGCAGGAAAAGAGCAAGGTTTGGTAGTACACAAGTATTCAACATGCTGCCAAGTAAATGCTGAAAACCAATTTTAATGTATAACTTCATACCTCTTTTAACAGCCCAAAAGCATAAAGTCCATAAACAGTCTATAAGCATTAACATAACATCAAACATACTTCTTAACAGTCAATAAAGTCCATAAATAAAATTGACAATACGTCAAATAAACAGTCCATATAGTCCAACAAAATAAGAAATTTAGTCCACTTTAAACAGTTTAATCCAGAATAATAGCACTTCCATTCCCAACTTGCCTCTCACGGGTTGCAATAGAATTTGACACATCTTGAGAAGAAAACGTAACAAAAAAATCATTAGAATCAGGTTTAGGACAACAAAATAAACAATAAAAAGATGAAATAAAGTTAAAAAAGAAAAAGTAAAACGTAAAAAATTACCTAACTCAATATCTTCATATTTATTAAACTCTTTCATGTCAATAAGGTTGATGTGCTCACGACTACGCGTCTAATTTTGTGTACAAATCAATGCCTCCACCATCTTGGGGCTCAATGAACTCCTAAAGGGATCGAGGATACGGCCTCCTGTACTAAAAGCAGATTCTGAGACTACCGTTGAAACAAGAATAACAAGAATGTCTCTTGCAACTAGTGAGAGAACCTTGTAATTAGTTGCATTATTCTTCCACCAATCTAAAACATCAAAATTTGGCCGAGTTAGATCCTCCATAGGGTCTGTCAAGTATCTGTCCACATCATTTTTGTACTCATTCACATTCTTCTCCTTCATTTTCCTAACAAATGAGCTCTACAAACATCTTTTTCCTTCTGCGTCCGTTTTTACCTCCGTTGTACTTGTTGTTGCCGCCTCCCCACCACTTTCATTAGCCACAGATTAACCCTTGTTCCCACTATAAACCTCATGTAGCCGGTATATAGTATCCTTCACATTCTTTACTAATGTTTCAGAAGTGCAAGAATCATACACTACAAAGAAACAATATGTCAAATAATCCATTTTGTACCTGGGATCAAGTACAACAACCACAAAGAGAAGACAATTTATATTCTCAACATTCCCCCAATATTTGTCATACTTCTTTTTCATACTCACAACCATGGATGAAAGTATTGAATCCTCTTATTTGCTTAATTCAGATAGTTGGTTTTATATCTCACAAAGCTCATGAAAGTAAGAATTTGAAGTGACATTCAAAGTGGCACTAAACTTCAAAGTTATATCATAAAAAGTCTTCAGAAATTTCACAAACACCTTAACATTCTCCCAATCATCATCAAGTGGCGGGCCAATCTTCTGTTTTCCCCCTCATCTTCCAAAAAATAAGACACGAACTTGTCGCATTCCTCTTCATATCTTTCAAAAGCTTTTTGAAACTTAATGACTGCATCTAACATCATGTAGGTGGAGTTCCATCTAGTAGGGACATCTAGGACTATGAGACCTTTGTATTCAATTTTCTCTCACTCCACACATGACTTGAATTTCAACAACCTAGCTGGAGAAGACCTAACATACCTCACAGCGTTACGAATGGCAGCTATGGAATTATGTAGGTCTTTTAAACCTTCATTGACAATTAAGTTCACTATATGGGCACAACACCTAACATGCAGAATTTCCCCACCTAAAACAACCACCCCTTAATCTTCCATCTCAAGTAGGTAATCATGGAGTCATTTGAGGAGGTATTATCAACAGTCATAGTGAAGACTCTCTCAATACCCCAAGCATGCAAACATGACTTAATGACTTTACCAACACTCTCTCCCTTGTGGTTTGAAATTTGACAAAAGTTTATAATCCTTTTTTACAAAGTCCACTCACTATCAACGTAGTGTGCAGTAAGACACAAATAATTAATATTTTACAAGGATGTCCAACAATTAGTTGTTAGGCAAATCTTTTGGCTGCCTTTACTAAATTCATCCCTCAGTTTCTTCCTTTCTTCCAAAAAAAGTTGGTAAATGTCCTTGGCAATCGTAACACGGGAGGGGATAGAGAATCTAGGCTGCGTCACTTGACAAAAATTCTTAAATCCTTCACCTTCAACAAACCTAAATGAATGCTCATCTACAATCACCATTTTTGCTAACGCTTTTCTACAATGCTCCTTATTAAAGCCTATAGCAACAAGATTACTACCAGTTTCAGTGCTGGTTTGGAAACTCAGAATTTTTTGCTTTTTGTCTTGGATCCTATATGGGTATTTCTTGCATTGCTTTTCTATGTGAACCTTCATACTACTAGTGCCATGTCTCATACTATCACGCGCATATGTTGCCCCACAATAGATACACTTACACCTAGGCTCATTTGGATCCTCACCCTCTATGATTTTGAAATGATCCCAAACAGGAGACTTTTTTTGTGACTTCTTCCTCTTTTTACTATATCCTTCCTCTTTTTTGTTTTCAATTTCAGTGCCCAAAATAGGTACAGGGGTAGGGCTGGGTGTGGGAGTGGGTAAGGTAATGGGTTCTTTAGGCACAGAGACATAGGTTGGATTTTTGGTCTGGCATTTGTCACTTTCTGTTTCAGCAGAGGACTTATAAGTGCTTTCAGAAGTTTGTATCGGGTGGATGATAAATTTTTCCATCTAGCACACAAATTAACCTAAAAAACAGATAAAATATGATTGAGACTAAGCGTAGAGATTAACCTAAAATCAGTTCATCTCAGTTCTCATGAAAGCATACTATTTCTTAGTTCTCAGTTGTCACAAAACAAACAGAAAATAAAAAACAAAAAACAAAAAAAAAAGAACCTTTTTGTTTCAGTCTTGCCTTCTTCTTAACCTTTTTCGGGTATAGACTATAGACTGAAAATGCCTCTTCAGTCTTCATTCTTCTTCCTCGGCTGGAAAGCAAAAACTAGAAATTAATAAATGAGAGTAAAGATTTTGGAAACAATAAACGAGTACCATACAAAAAGCTAAAACCAACGACTATAGACTATAAAAAAGAAAATCCATATGACAGATGCAATCACAATTCCACAGAATCCTCAAGTTTCCAAACCCGAAGTTGAATCAATCCCAGCTCTGAGAAAACACTTTGCTCTCTTCAGCTATATCTCGGAGAAACCTCCAAGGCTAAACCACATTCATTGATTGCCCGACGGTACTCAACAAAGCCAAACCACATTCACTGATCCTTCTTCTTCCTAGTTGGTTTTCCCATAATTTTGTTTTCAAAGTATTAAAAAAAGGACTTCCCAAATCAAAGCTCTGTCAGCTCTGATTCATTGCCTTAATCAAAAACCCTATTTTTGCCAATTCTTACTTATAATCTAATCAGAGCAAGGAAGAACAAACAAAAAAACAAACCCAATTCACAAAGTAATAAATTTCAAGAAAAAGATTCAACCTTTGACAAAATTTCAAGCTTAAATAAGCTAGAAAAAGATGGACCAAACACAAAAAACAAAACGAAAGGTCAATCCCAAACAAAACAACAATATTTAATAACAACAACAGGTAGGGAAGAAAAAAAAATAAGAGAGAGAATAGAAACAAAGCAGACAAGGAAAGAAAAACCCACTATTTTTTTTCTTCTTCTTCTTTTTTGACAGCGTTTCTGTTTGGTTTGCTTTGATTTAGAGAGAAATAAAAAACAAAACAAAAAAATTATGGAAGAAGAAAAGGAACGGCGAGAGACTGAGGAACGACGAGTGTGAGGAACTGTGAGAGACTGAGGAACAATGAGAGACTGAAAAGAAGAAGAGGAACGGGGGATGAGGAACGATGAGTGTGAGGAACGACGAGAGACTGAGAAGTGAGAAAGAGGCGTGAAGTGAGGCGAGAGACTGAGGGAGGCGAGTGAGACTGAGGGAGGCGAGCGAGACTGAGGGGGGCGTGAAGTGAAAGTGATTAGGGATTTAAGGTTACAGACTTCATTACCCCAAGTGGAAATGAGACGGCCGGGTCGGGGCATAACGGGTTAAAGAATGCCCGCCCCGCGGCCTAACCCGCACAGTGGGGGTTGGGACTATTTGAATCCGATGTTTTTTAAAACCTTATATTTTAAGGTCGGGTCAGGTGGATTATTCGGGTTCGGGCTCAATTCTTACACCCTTACTTCTGAGCCATCTTGGATTCCTTTGTAGTCGAGCTCATTATTTCAATCACTCATAAACCATTTTAAAAATAGTATTTCAATTGTAAAACTTCAACCAACTTCATTTTAAATATCTCCAAACCTAATAAGGAGTTTTTGTTATCCCTTCTTTGTTATTGTTGTTTTTTTTTTTTTTGACAAAAAACAAAAAATACCACTTAAATGGTAAATAATACTATTTATAGCACTCCATTTAAATAATAAAATTTTTTCATTTAATTAATAAAAAGGAGATAAAAAGACTACGATGACACTTAATGGGTAATCTTGATAAATACTTTTTGAAAGTGTACGGGTAAAGATTTTTACCCTTTACTCTTAATTCATAACCTTTTTAGTCAAATAATTAGACAAATAAAATGATATTTATCAAGAGTAAGGGATAAAGGTCCAGACTCATATATTCTTAAGAATAAATTCTTCATTTTTTTTACACTTACTTTTTTCACTTTTTTTATATTAATTATTTAAAATTATATAAATAATAGACATTCGTAAAATCATGGGAAACCATTACTTCCCTCTTTATCTCTCTCTGTGTTTTACTGGAGCACTGCATGAGGTTGGGCTATCAGGTCCATCAGGCCACACTGCCTAACATGGAGAGAGAATCAGAGACTACTGGGCTTATAGTCCATTAGGAGACAACGCACACTAATCTGGCGCTGGGCCTTAGGAACGACGCCGTTCTACTTGGAAACGCATATCCCAAATTCCTAACCACACCCACAAATCGAGAGCAAAAAACCACACCAACAGGGCCACTATTATGCCGTCTGTAAACGACAACTAAAGAAATCGCAGTAGAAAACAAACAGCGAAGAAGAAGAAGAAGAAGAATTTCGATCGAGAGAAATGGCAGGGAGATTAAGCAATGTGGCGTCCAAGATCATGGGCGGAAACGGCGTCGTTTGCCGCTCCGTCGCCTCCTCTCTCCGCCTCCGCTCCGGCATGGGCCTCCCAGTCGGCAAGCACATCGTCCCCGAAAAGCCCGTATGCATAAAAACCTAGATATCCATAACCCATTTCTATTACTCTTTTTTTATTTCTCAACAGTTATTCAAATTAATCAAACCTGAAATCGAACTCTAAGAAAGCATTCATTTTTGTTTTTTGTTTTTTGTTTTTTTTTTTGTTTTTTTTTGTTTTTGGTGTGTGTGGCGATTCAGCTTCCTGTGAACGACGAATTGGTTTGGGACAACGGAACCCCATTTCCCGAGCCCTGTATAGATCGTATTGCCGATACTGTTGGTAAGGTATATAATTTTAGGGTTTATGAATTCGTAGATTTGGGAATTTATTTGTTTATTTGTTTATTTTGGAATTTCTGAATTTTGTGTAGTATGAAGCATTGGCTTGGCTATGTGGAGGTTTGGGCTTTTTCGCGTCCTTGGGATTGTTGGCTGTTTGGAATGACAAAGCCTCCAAGATTCCTTTTGTAAGTCTCAAAACTCGGCTTTGCTTCATAGTTAATTTTGTTTTTTAATCTTTCTCAATTAAGGATTCTCCCAGTGGGATTGTTTTCCAAGATTCCTGTTTGCTGAATCACGCCCCCGGTGAAAAGATGGAATTTTTTTAGAATTTGTTTCAAAATGACCCCTGCCTTTAGTTTTGAAAGAGCTGAATGGCCTTAATTGTAACATTAAAACGTACTATAATCTTATATTACGTTGAATTGGAGCGATTATGGCTTTGATCTGGACTTGTAGATTCTGTATGAAACCGCTCGATCCTGTGATACATATAGAGTTGGCATTACTTCTTGTTGCTCTAAATTGAATCAAAGTCTTAAATTTTGTGTAATGTGGCTACAATGGACTCTAACCCACTTTCTAGGTGTTTAACCACTATCTCACGAGTTGCTTTTGTTCTAATTGCCTTTCACATTATGTATAGTTTGGTCATCTAAGTAGCGCTTTACACAATTTTAATAAGCTTTACTCAGAGAACGTTATTAGTTTCTTTTGGACACTCTGCCGCTGACTGCAGAGGGCAATTGCAGATTGGGAAATACCAAATTATCTTTTGTCAGACTCTTGGATGGAGTCATTTGTTTTTTCAGTGGCGGGAAATTGTTGTTGCTATGATACCTCTCAGTAGTCACAAAATCTTGTTAAGTAAATAGGAATTTGAATCTTTGAAGGTTTGAAGTTCTTTGCATCTGACATGGAGTGTCGCATGGTATGGTATTAGCATGCTGATTCTGGAGAAAAGTGGAAAATTGTGAGGGGATATTCCCAGCTCATTACTCCAGTCAAGTTTAGTTTTCTTCCCAGAATTCTATATATATTGGGTGTGTCGGAAACTGGATAAAGAGTGCAAAGAGCTGATGTCCTTGTTTATTATTTCCTTTTCTTAATGTGTCAAGAAGCAAGCCCGCACGCATATCCATTTTTTCAAAGAAAGTTATTTTCTTCCGACACCACTATATCTGAACTTCGACAATTTGACGTATACTTGAAACATTTATATACGTGGTGTCTGAGACTTTACAATGACTAGTCGACTGTATCTATTCAAAGCGCAACCTTGTAAGCTATTATTGTGAGAGATATTCGTATTATGAATCTATGGAACTGTACTTAAGAGGTGCAAATTATTAGAAAGCTTATAGTTCTTCTCCGACTCTGTTTTGGCTCTGCTTTCTAGTTTCTCTTATGTTGCATTTTTTTTTATTCATGTAATATTTTTCTGATACCAGCTTAATTGGCTATAATGCTTTCGAAAAGCATTTGACACTTATGCTGATTGGTGAATCTTTTTTGTTTCTTTGTACAGACACCCAAAGTTTATCCCTATGACAATCTACGAGTGGAGCTTGGTGGAGAACCATAGGTAGATCTGGGAGTGGCTAGTTGCTGGTTACTTATGTTTAAGATTGTCTTTGGTTTTTGTATGTTTTCGGAGTTTGGAATGGTTCAAAATAAGGGATCATGGTTACCTTATGTGTAAACTTAAATAATAGATCATTTTCGCCTTTTTCTGAACTAACATCTTCAACCACAGAGTTGCATATTGTTTTGTTTGGCAACAAAGTGAGAATTATCTCATTTTAATCAATCTTCATTAGTTCCAAATATTGTATAAGTAGCGCTCAAACTGGATGAAAGAAAATGAACTAGGAACAAGCGAGTTAAAACCGACAAACTGGTCTCAATGCGGAAATGTGCTGTATGTTCTGATTTGAAGTAAATTGTTTCTTGAAATGATGAAATCTCGAGTTTCTGATTGTCAAGGGAATTAAACCTCCCTAGTTTGATAGATTATGTAGTTTCATTAAAGGAATGAATGGCCAATGCAATTTTTGGAGGTAAAATATTTTACACTCTGGGGGCCAGATACCCATCAAGCTCTGGTCTCCATGATCCATATTTCGTTGTGAGATTGCAAATTGGCAAGGTTTTACTGTGTATATTCGATTTTCAAACGGTGGCGGATGGGCCGGCCACGTTTATTTGTCAAATTATTTTTTTCAAGGATTTGGCTATTAAACCGTCTAATTCTATGCTAATACTAATGCTATATTTGACACTAAAAATTATAATATGACGTGTTATTTTTATTTCTGGTTCAATGTATAATGCTTTTTGAAATGTTAAATTTACTTTTTTATAATTATTAAGTTTTGAAATTTGTAAAAGTAAATTTTTAATTTTAAAATAATTTTTAAAAATAAAAGTTTTAATGATTAAATGTAAAAGTAACCGTATAAACAATAAGAATCAAATGTCAAATTTGTTATATGTTATACTTTGTGAGAAATTTATCAAAAAAATATAGCACATGATAAATTTGCCACAATAAATAGCATTGCATTGGATTTTTTTTTTTTAAATGCTAAATTTACCATTGGCAAATCAATTATATCATTGTATTGAAGATGCTCTTAGTAATTATATATTCTATTTATTTGATTAAAATGGGAAAAAGGAGTATGGTACTTGTAATTTTTTATATCTCAAGGATGACGATTTAACGGAAACTACAAGTTGTACTGTAGACACTGTGAAGCCATGTTATGGGGTATTCTTTTATTAGATATTTGCACATTCATTTACGGGTGCAATGGTTTTATATTTTAGGATTCATTTTTGTATTGGTGGTACAATTTTATTTTATATATATATATATATTTGTAGAACTTCGGTATTATATAACATGCAAACACCTTTTTCTTTTAAATACGCCACCAATTGTCCTCTCTCTATTTATATAATTTTGTTGCCATTTTCATTTGTCCATTAATGCACGACCCGCTTAAGTTTCAATGTGCAACAGTTCTTTTCTATGATAATGATGCTTCACGATGAATGATATTTGGTCGCGTATTCCCAAGTGCTGATCTGATTATTGTTCATTTGTTAGGTTGGGAAACCATCATTTTTTAATCTACCTTATGATTTCTAATTCCATCGTACAAAATACAAAATCACTCGAAGTAAAATCACAATTATTAACATGTGTAAAAAAGTATGTTATTGAAACTAGTAAAACTTATATGATGCCATTTTCTTTTTGTTGTCAAATCAGAGAAACGAAATTGACTACTCAGAGAAAGTGAAAACTTTCCGTGGCATCATCAAGAAATAAGATTTCTTTTCTTTTCACTTGTCTATGAACTGCAAAATAGTACCACTAGACTTCTCGAAACTCAACTTTCTTTATCCACTCATTTTCTAGCCAATTGGATATATATATATAGTCACCATCACAATTTCATTCATATTAATCATGACTTCTGTGCAATAAGAGCTAGCTGTAATAATAATCGTATTCGGAAGATACATATTACAAGTTCATGCTATTGCTTATGGATTTAAAACTTAATATAAAATCTCTTGTGTCTCGTTCATTTTATCGATTTGAGTTTTTAATTTTAAGCTTATCACAGTTAAAAGTTCTTATAAAAAGTTATATCTAATTTTTTTATTACAATTAGAAATTCTCACATAAAATTACATCTCAACTCAAATTAAAACTCAAATCAGTGAACTGAACGAGACCTTAATTAATAGACGGAAATTATATGTAGAATATACTTTAGCAGATGGAGAGGACACAACACGTCTTTGTTCATGTGCTCTCCTGCCGAGTGAAGGTCCACAATGGGTTGATCTGAGTTTCCCCATAATAATATGATCAGTAACAAGCTAAATGACAATTCCAATCACATGTATATGTCGATTTAGTATCTCTAGTTTCTACACATTTCTTGGCTAAATGTGTAATTATAATTAATCTTATTTAATGTATACACACATACACACATATGGACCAAGTGAATATTAGAGGAAACAGTAAATGAACTTCACATGATGCAAAATCTGGTTAATATTAATGCTTGTCAAGACTAAATTCGGCCTCATCATCATGTTTCTTCTAATTTTATATTTCTTTAATCGGACGTTGAACAAAAAACATATTGTTGGAAACCTTGTTCAACAAAGTATAAATTGATCGGCGCCTAGCTTAGCTAGTCAGTAGATTATAATATTCGTCTTATAGTCATTTAATTTCACCGCTTGGAAACATACCACCAGATGACAAATAATATCAAGATAAATCTGAAACACGTTTTATTAATATTACCTAAGACATTTAAAATTTAACTTCTTATATATATATATATGTATATGTTGATGGTGGAATTTCGTCAACAAAGTTATGCTGGATTGCCATTCGGTGGTCAGTTGGGTTACCGGCCAAAACTAGTTATATTTTCGGATTTATGCAACCGATTATGTTTGTTTTCAAGGTATTTTGAAGATATATCGATTTGTCGTTAAAACGAAAGAAAAGAACACACGAGATTATAGTGGTTCACTCTATCACGAAAGAGCTACATCCACTTGTTATTGTATTTTTCTTTTTCTCCAAAGATTACAAAGAACCCTCCTTTCTCTCTCTCGGGCTTTGCCCTTTTTATGTCTTACAGATTACATATGGGTACCTTTGGGGCGGACTGTGACAGGGGGTTCTCTAATGGTTTTTCTCACGTAACCTATTATCCTACCTGCCTAGACCGTAGCCTCTCAGCACCTTTTGGACTGTTCACTCACCCACTTTATCCACTATTGCGGCTCTGCGGATCCTCTGTGATTTCCATTGGTGCGTTCTAGGTGGTTTATGGGCAGATAATCATTTCCTGTGCTACTGACATTCTCTAAACCCAGAAGTAACATAGGGATTTCCCCCTTGCCACCTTAGAGGTCATTCTTGGGGCGTGGACCCAAACTCATGCGTTCTGCCCTCTGCGCCTATATCATATTTCACAAGGCGCGGCCTCCGTTCCGGTCGATCCCCTCACGGTACCGCTGGTTTGCTGCGAACAAATCATGCAGGCCTCGACTTTGTGTAGGGTTGATAGTTGCAAGAATTGTCCCATAGGGTTGGCCTTTTCACCGGATGGCGGATGGGGAAATGAGCTTTAGGCGTCGACCGCTACCTGACGTGGCGGGTTTAGGGTCACATGGAGCACGATCATTATATGACGTGTCAAAGCATATTTTTCCACACAATAATATATATTGACAAAAGCACCGAACTTCTCAAATCCCTAATGTGACACTCAAGTATTAAAAATTATTTAAAAAAAACATATATTTTACCGACTAAATAAAAAGTATAGAAAACTACGACCCTCGAAATTGTATAGAATATAGTAGTATAACACTACTATATATGTCTAATTAGGAAGCTAAGAAGCCACAAAAATTGACAACGAGAACACAAAGAAAAGTCCAAAGTGTCCCATAGGCTTATCTTCCAAGTTGCGTTGCCAGGTTGTGCGCTGCTTGGTATTCCGATCTATCCCTACATGCCCACATGCCCAATAATATAATTCTATATGTATGTGTCCAATTATTATTACAATATATGTATATATTCTAACCCTAATCTCCATCTATAAAATCCACACCCCAACTTCACCATTTCCATAACTAGCTAGTACTAGTACAATTTTTTCCTCTCTAGCTAGCTGAAAACCCAAAGCCGGTTTCTCAATTAATTTCTTGTCCTTAATTTTAATTGAGAAATTAATATGGCTTATTCCAAGGGTCAAGTGTCCACTGCCCTAATCCTCTCCCTCAACATAATCTTCTTCAGCATGGTGAGCTCCACCTATGTCCCAGCTTGTCCACCGGTGCCCGAAAAGAGCCACAAACACCACCCCAAGACCCCATCAACCCCATCGACCCCGTCGGCGCCGGCGAACCCCAGCCCTAAGAAGAAGGAAAGCTGCCCTATCAACACCCTTAAGTTAGGCGTGTGCGCCAACGTGTTGGATGATTTGGTTCACCTTGTTGTGGGGGTCCCACCCAAGGAACCTTGCTGCTCTCTCATCAATGGTCTGGCTGATTTGGAAGCTGCTGTTTGCCTTTGCACCGCCCTTAAGGCTAATGTTTTGGGAGTCGTCAACCTCAACATCCCAATCCAACTTAGCTTGCTTCTCAACTACTGTGGCACGGGCGTTCCCTCTGGCTTCCAATGTGCTTAATTGATCATCATTGAGTACCGTACTACGTACTTACTAGTACTCTCTCTTGATCATCTTTGCTTTTCATGTTTAATTTGTTTCCTTTTTATTGGTCATTTCATCACGATGATGATGACGTTGTTTGATTCCTGGGATTGTTTTCATTGGCTCATTATGCCATCGATATTGAACATCGATGATATATTGTTTCACGGGGATCATATGGAAGGATCAATCCTCATGATCTTGACCTTCTTGATCCTAGTCATGATTTTCTAGATTTTGTTGTATCATTCTAATAAAAATGTGGATTTTGAATTCATGTATTGTTTGAGTTCTTAATTACCGAAATATTTACTTGTGGTTTCAGTGATGATGACTAGTACTGGAGAGCTTCTAGTTATTTACAATTCTATAAGTCAAGCCTTGTCTACTTTAGAGTGTTTCAAATCATCCAAAGTATTTTCCGGACCTTAACACATTTAATATATCCAGCCTCTTTTTATATATTTAAAAATTGAACAGAATATAGTCTTTTTTGATGAAAAATATCGTCTTCAATCCAAATGCAAAATATATGACAATTACAAAAACTAAACAGGATTAATTTGCAATTTGCAATTAGAATTAAGTGTCCATGATTTAGTGCCAAAACATAAGTCCAAGCCAAGTATATCGTTTTCAAGCCAAAATAATACAAAAATATATGTTGCAATTACAAAAACTAAATAGGATTAATTTGCAAGTATAATTAAGTATCCGAGACTTACTGCCAAAGCATAAATCCTAGCCAGCATGGACACACACATATGTACATATATACTCAGATCGTTTTGTTGCAAGACAGAATTTAGTGTTATAACTATTGAGATGTTATGTAAATCACTAGCTAAGCTATGATGATTTTATCAACTCATGAGCATACATATAAATACACACACGCCCGCACACATATATGTATATATATTCTTTGAATAATTATATATAGCAACTGATGATTATTAATATTCCGTGATCAATATTATAGTACCCGTCGAGTAATGGTTCATATAAAAAACTACTCTTTATAATATCTCATTTTTCCCTAGTTTGGATGAACATTCAAATGGATGGCATAATTAAGGCCAATGATCGTCAAGAATACATTTGATCAGGATAAAATGAAACACATGCACGATGATCTCGTCAATTATTTATTTTCAGCACTAAAAGCAGGAAAGTAAAATACGGGTTTTATCCTTTGAGTTTGAATTGTCCAGTTTGTCCTTTTTTTTCCCTCTCTTTTCCTTTTAGGGAAATAATAGAAAATATGCCAATATAAAAAGTTTAAAAAAGTATATAGGCTAATTTTTAGTTATAGAAATTAATAGGCCATAACTTGTTAAGTTATGGTTCATAACACGATAAGTTATGGATAAACTTGTCAAGTTATGATTCATAGCCAGACAAGTTATGGATAATTATGGATAATAACTTGTCAAGTTATAGTTCATAACCAGACAAGTTATGGACGAAAACAGTAATTTGGCCTATTTATTAACTTATGTAAACTATTGGCCTATTAATTTTAATTCATCTCAAGTCTTGACCTATTTTCTTCTTTCTCCCTTTCTTTTACTGCGCATGGGCCTTTGGGCCTTTTCTTACCTTATAGTCTCATTGTGCATTTTTTTCTTAGTTTTTCATTTCTTTATATTTACTAATTTATTTCAATTATCAATAAAAATCAACATTTATTATTTTGAATACATATTTTAACAATATTTTATTATTTTAGTTATGAACTAAAGTCAATAGACCAATCCAGAAAACATCCAAAGATCAGGTAATGTAACGACTTCTAAATTCTTTAATTTACACCACGTATCATTAAAAATTTTCAAGTTACTTAATTATTATTATTAGTATAATTTTTTAAAATTTGTGTTTTACAGTTAAGAAGAAAAAAAAAGAAAACAAAAGTTATAATACATTCTAAGAAACTTTAAATTAGAATATTATATAGATATATCTATATGTATGTACATAAAAATTATCAATTTTTTGTATAATACAATAACGCTCGGACTTTTGACTAATAATTAACTAAATGCAAAGTTATATATGGCTAGAAAGTACGCGGTTTCACTCTCACATCTCAGAACGCTACAATGATATGCAAAAAATAAATAAATAAATAAATAAAAATAAAAACAATCTAATCCTATATATACACAACCACTTGCAACATAGCAGCTCGGGACACATGTCACTTCGCTTGGGACAAATTGGGGTACACTCCAAAACGTTCCTTGCTATGAATTTGGGTCCACGGCCATAAACAGACAAACTATGATTAAAATTTTCCAGCAACCAAAAGAAGGAAAAAAAAAGGGAAAAGAATCTTAATTACTGAAGATTAATGCGTATTATGTCATGCTAAAACAAAACATTTGCTAATATACTTTAAAGTTACACGTATATACTAAGACAAATTCAGCTGGTACTTAGTTATCAAGAAGAAAAGTTGTGGATCAGATTGAAACACGTATTTTAAGCCATTTGATTTGTCTGCATGAACTTCATATGCTATAGCTAGCTAATTATATCGCAAGATGCACTGTTCAATATTGAAAAAACACATTCTGCACAAACAAAAAGATGATATGGGTAAAGTACCAACCCCTATCTATGTATATCTTTTGACAAAATATTTGCGACGACATGTCTATTGATCAAGAAGCAAGTTGTGTTCATTAGCATCAAGGTTAGATTAGTTTACGTAATTTCAGACCAGCTTAATTAGTGTTTGGTGAGTGTGCGAGTTTACTTTCGATTTTATACAATTCCGCGGTTCAATTAATCAAGTCCCATGAGATACAAATAAAAGAAAAAAAAATCAACGATAGAATATATATAAATGCATTTTGCTAGATGTAGATAGGCATCTAATAGTTCTAGTCTAAAACTCAAAGGCCGAGAAATCTTAGATGAAAATTGAAAGGGTAATTAAAGTTACATACAACGCTAATTAAATTCCTTTAAATGAATTAAGTAGTAGAAGGAAGGCTGATATATATTGGCGAAAAAGGATATACCATTACAATCTGCAATGTGACGCTAGCCAATTATTAAAGGCATTAGTAAAAAAGAAAGAAAAAAAAACTACTTATATTGTATTATACAATCTTGACATATAAAGGTAATTAGGTGAGCTGTACTCGTTGCATATGTAAAATGTGAATTTTTGTAGAAATGCATATATAAGAAACCGAAAAAAAAAATGAAAAAATAAAAGGTAAGAAATTAAAATGAATAGGGAATTCACATTAACATCCTTCACGCACACAGAAAAATTAAAACGCAAAAAGAAAAAAAAAATCAAGAATTCACATGTTCGCATCGTGAACTGGAGTACATAGCAGTATTGGCACGTCCTATATATGCAGAGACTCTGAGCATATGATCTTTACTCTTTTATTTTTTATGTTTTTGGGTAGCATATGTGTTTAGGTCTCCGACTAACCTGCCATCATACCAAGAGTGGATGGAAAAAAAAATTGACATATATAAGTTTATAACAAACATATTCAAATTTGATATTTTCTTGATCAAACTTCATATGATATTATTCTTTGATATTCACTCGAGCTTCTAGTAGCCCTTTTTATTTATCAAATTATTATATTCTGAAACATTCACTTCTGTAACCTAAAGGTGCAGATTTTGGCTTTGAGTATAATAGTTAAAGGTTTATGTGTTAAACATAATAAATTCAGCCAATAAACAAAAGCTGTCAAACATAAACAGTAAGTCGTAACCAAATATAATTTTTAAAGTTTGTCCATATAGCTAATGAATAAAATTCTTAGGATACTACTCATGCCTGGCTGGAAGCCATGCCTAATTATTATTTTTAAGGACAGCCCGATAAGGAAATGAAAAACAATAGGAAAAAAAAAATGAAAATGAAAATTTTTTGGTGGGATACGATAAAAACATTTTACTGTATTGTTTTTATGTGCAGTATAACAAAGAAGTAGTTGGGTGCGTAATTGTGTAACTTAAAATTCAAATCTTGATTGTTTTATTTTTTTTAATATAGTGAAAAATTAAGGTCTCATATTGTATATTAAAAAAAAAGAAGAAGAAGAGGTTAAAAGAGAGAGAGAGAGAGAAATTATTGGGACGTTTAGTTTATAAGTTAGAATTATGATTTATAATTTTAATTTTTAAAATTTAAATTTTTTATAAGAAAAAAATACTCTAAAAACTCAAGAATCATAATTCAGAACTATAAAATCCTTGAAATAAACATCCCGTACAAAAGCTAGAAGGGCTAAAAAGGAAAGAAAAAAAGAAAGAGAGAGGGAGAGAAGGGGAAGAGGAGAAGTGGGGGAGGAAAATTTAGAAGCAAACAAAGAGGATGCATAGAAAGCTGCGAAACTGAAGTGGTTCTGAAATCGATCACGTTCACGAGATCGTACTGAAGCACTCACGGATTTCATATCGAAGTTTGCAATCGACCAACAACACTGGACAAACCCCTCGAATTTATTCACATTCGAACCCATGAAGTTCTCTAAACATTCATCACACACACACACACACACACACACACACACACACACACACACACTCTCTCTCTCTCTCTCTCTCTCTCTCTCTCTCTCTCTCTCTCTCTCTCTCTCTCTCTCTCTCTCTCTCTCTCTCTCTCTCTCTCATGTTTTTACGCCAACTTGTTGTTTAACTGGACTCTGGCTTCTCTCTAGTCCCTTTTCTTTTTCCTTTTTTTTTTTAAAACTTGCTAATTCCATTGTGTTTCAATGGTTATCGATCAGCTGTCACGGGTTGGTCTCTTAAGTTCAGCTATATATATATATATATATAACCACCAAACCACTATATCATTGAAACCCCGTAGTATTGCGCCTATTATCGATCTTCAAAGGAACCCTAAACCAATATGGGTTCCAATAAGGTTGCCGCCACATTCTTCATTTGCATGATTTTCATGGTCACGTCACTGCCGCCATTAATCCATGCATGCGGTCCATGCACACAGCCACACCCTCCACGTCATGAACATCCTCCGCAGCCACCTTACCACCGCCCCAGCCCCGGCCACGGCGGCGGTGGCCAACCCAAAATCCCTCCTCACCCAAAACCCCCCACCCACAAGAACCCTCCCCACCATGGCGGCGGTGGCGGAGGCGGAGGAGGGGGAGGAGGAGGCCACCCAAAAGTCTCCCCGCCCTCCACAAACCCTCCAGTTATCTCCCCGCCGGTCATCATATCTCCTCCGATCATAACTCCTCCGGTGACCAACCCTCCTCCTTCCCCCACATACCCACCTTACACCGGTCCACCGTCTCCTGGTGGCGGAGGCGGAGGAGGAGGAGGAGGTGGTGGTGGAGGTGGCGGCGGCGGTGGCGGAGGTGGAGGTGTAAGCCCAATTACGCCCTCGCCACCGGCTTCACAGACTTGTCCCATTGACGCGCTGAAGTTAGGGCTTTGCCTGGACGTTCTTGGTGGTTTGGTTCACATTGGTTTGGGAGACCCAGTTCAGAATACTTGCTGTCCGGTGCTTGGAGGATTGCTTGAGCTTGAAGCAGCGGTTTGTCTGTGCACTGCAATAAGAATTAAGCTTCTTAACCTTAACATATTCATCCCTCTTGCCCTTCAAGTTTTAATCACCTGTGGAAAGACTCCTCCACCTGGTTTCGTTTGTCCTCCTCTCTAAATGTGACTAGCAAGAAACTCATGATCATGATCATGGTCCTCATAAGTTTTGCTGTTAATCAAGTACGTGTGCCCAAAGACAGGGTTTTAATTAAACCCTAATTGTCGGGTTTATTCGAAGATTGTGTTTGTTTTCCTTCTAATTTATGTTTTTTCCATAATATTGTTGCAACCCTCATGTTACTGCTTGGGGGTACTGCACATTGTGATCATCTGCTTTGGATTCTGTAACTTCTCGTTATGTTTAGTGATCAAAGCATGCATTCATGTTAACTGAAAGTAGTACTTGTGATTATTCTGTCTGTTTACTATAAGTCTTCTTCTTTTTGTTGTTGTTGTTGTTGTTAAAAGTTTCTTAATTATAAGCTAGCTAGCTACGTCCGAGTTATAACATTGCACATTGCAGTAATCGGAATGTTTTACATGTATAACCAGTTTTTCACCACATTATTACACGAATACATAGGATGTTTCCGTTACAGGATTAGCATTGGGAATGGTGATCTCTTTCTGTATTGTGCATAACATATATGCATCCTGCGAAACTGACCGTGAATATGCTATAATTACTGAAAAAAATATTGTGTTATGCTATAATTACTGAAAACAATACTGTGTTGAGTATACTTGAAGAAAAAGTACAACAAATTATGAGTGCACACAACTATAATTGCTTGCCAAGCTTAGGCATTGTATCCCAAGGCATAATTATATGAAGTTGTTGGTTTTTTTTCCCACATATGAATATAGGTGGGATTTACTAATACTTCCAACATGCTATTATTAATTAATGACTAAAATTTTCGTCTCTTTTCTACCACCTTTTACTTGAAAGGGATCAACACACAAACCAAATATAAATGGCCATCAACTTTGACTTTAAGGCTGAAGGCATGATTTAGCTTTTGAAACTTTTAGCTGATTGATCTCCATAATTCAATTATGATCACCAAAAAGAAAATGTTGATATATAGACCAAAGTGGAAAATAAATCAATCGGTCTTTTTTGAAATATCACGAAAACCAAATACCGTGTATTCTGTTGGTGAAGCTAGCTTAGGCCGGAAAATCTCATCTATTAAGAATAAATTAATATTCACATGTGCTATCCTTTGCGATCTTGAAACGGGTTAGGAGTACCAAACTCAACGTGCGCTCACATCATTAATGCTATGTTTGGTCATATGTTTAAGCAATCTATGTACGTGCAATAATATATGTGTGTATATATATATGTAACCTAAAAGTATAAAGTTGTTTTGTTTTCTGTTTGCTATAATTTATTGCTCATTATTATAAAAACGCGAATGTGCCAAAACTGGTTCACGGGAGAGAATATAGTGGTCGTGTGGGACCAATATAATTGACCTGATGACTCCAGTATCGAGCTACAATTGATTTTGAGGAAATATAAATTATGGGGGTATATCAAGTGGAGAATGGCCATTTATGACAAGATAGAAAAATGTAGTAGAGAGAGAGGGAGAAAGATGTGAATATGAGATAGAAAGAGCGCACTAGATAATTAGCATATGGCTAGGCAAATCAAAATTTGCGTATGCCTAGAATCCTTATTAATCTCGGTTGTAATTGGCTCTGATGATTTCTCTCTTTTTATTTTTATTTTTTTGTATCCTCTACATATTTGAACTTATTATAACTTGTAATATTATTATTATTATTATTATTATTATTATTAGTAGTAGTAAATATTATTGTTGGGATGTCTCGGCGAACTTAAATACTAGTTGTCTATTCTTTTTAGTTTGTCTAAAAAGATAATTAATAAATATTAAAAGTGTGATTTGTTATTAAATATGATTAAAAATGTGATTTATAATTTTGTTATGTCGGTCATTAAATATTCATTTCATATATAGAAAACAAAATAAAATCACGAGATATATACGTGTTACTGTATAATCTTACTAGCTAGCTGTACTACATATATATATATATATAGACAAAACTGCGCAGATCTTACCTGTTATTAATAGGGTTTTATCGATTTTTTGGCCATCATATGATGGAACGTGAATACGTGCCTTACTGTGGTTTTTGCTACTTGGTTTTCCATTTACGTGTGGGGTGAAAAATTAATGAGCGATATCCATGAGCAAGTACTGCAGTCCAATAATCATGACATAATTTTTGGTAATTCTCCTAATTCATCGATCCAGCTTGGTCAGAATCTCCAGATTTTAAATCATGACAGAATATTTCGCAGAAGAAAATCTAACAACGGTGGCAGAAAATCAGGCTCAGAATATTATGTCTAATAGTTTTAAATCACACGTATTCAGCATCAGATCATGATCATCAATATGGAATTTTGCATGGTAAAAGAGCTAATTAATTTACTGTTGAATAATGATTAAACATAATTATGCATACATTAACACTAACCGGTCCTATTGTAACAATTTGTACCTGATAAAGGTACAGGTGGTTACAAAGTTACATTACCTTTAATTTTAAAACGTACGTACAATAATTTGCTACTTCCATTTTAATAATAATATATCCTTCTGATCTCTCCATTGAAAGTTGCTGTCTAATTTTGTGATTCAAACATTTTAGATATTTATTATCAACTTTTTAGCTGAAATAACATATATGATCGTGACTACTTTTTGAATTATGAAATATTTGTTTGCTAGCCAATTCCAGGAATTAATCTAACAATTAAACTTAGGTGTGCACATGTTGCTTCAACCTTTTTCTTTTTCCATGTGAGGAGGCATTCACCCAAAAAATACCATGAGTCACGGGTGAACAGTGCTAGATAAATAATTGTAGTACTTGATACTATAAATAAAATGTACAAAATGAATTCATATATAATGAGACATATATGTCATGAACACCGAAAAGAAAATGAAGCACCCTCGGGCTATTTCGAGTATAGAAGGGTAGAAGTTTCAATTATTTTATGTTAATCTCTTTAAAATATTACACCAAAATTATAAAATATTTTCGATCTGTTTATTTATTTTTTATGTCTTTTAGATACATTCATTTTAGTTAACAATCTTATAATTTTTTTAATATAAGTTGAGTGGAGATTTGATTTACTGATTAATGAGTGTGGAATGAACTACATATGAAGGCTTTAATAGGTCCTAATATTAATGTTATCAATTTGTTAAGTTGCTTTGAAACTATTAGTTTCCTCCTTTTCTTTTGCTGTCTATATATAATTATAAGCATATTGAATACCTAAACACTAATATATATATATATATATATATATATGCAACATATTGACACTGCTAAAAGCTTGATTCCCCATGTATATGTATGTTAAAATACATACATATATGTATATATCTAGGTTTAATGCCCATGAACCATAGTTAAAAAAGAAGGGGGAATAAAGATCTTAGTAACCGCCTTATACTCTTAGTAGTAGATGAACCTTAGGTACGTCATATATTTTAATATTGCTTTTACCAACCATCCGCCTTGGCGGGACATGTATTTATGTTGGAGTTTCGGTCGACAACATCATGGACCTTCTTTTAATTTGTGAACATACATATAGAGTAGTATACGTGCGTGACTGCAAATAAAGATGTTATATATGTATATGTATATACATTACATGTATATTTTGCTCAGTACGTACTATGTTTCCTTAATAGATCTCCAATATGACCGATCCTTTATGTTAATTAGAACAGGTCATGTTGCCAAAATATACATATGTACGAACATATATATATATATATATATATGTTGATTAAATCAGGTCATGTTAATCTCCAAAATATATATACGTACAAAACATATAACGTATATTTATAAATTATATATCTGTCAAGGTCATGTTGGCAAAAATATACATGCGTTCAAATACATACATACATACATAGACACACACACACACACACACACACACACACACACACACACACATATATATATATATATAAATCATATACCAAAAAAATACCAAGGATAGATTGATACTTGATAAGAGATTTTCAAACTTCTTTAACAGGAAAAAGGAGGACAATACATCTCATAAACCCATGGAAATTACATAATAATTGAGAAAGACACATCACAAGTTGGATCTTATTGATTCATCACTGTAACACCCGCAAATCAAACATATGATCAAGCATATAACAAGGGAAATGGGCGATTTCCACGACACACGTTATACTTATAAGCCAGACAACAAGTACTAGGTAACTGTTATAATAAAAAGGAAATTTATTATAAGGAAATGAATATTATTATTGGGAGCCTTAGCTAATTAGGGGCACTGGAAACCAGGTGGAGAATTCCTTGAGCAAACGTTAAGCAGCAAGCTTAGATTGACGGGGATGTTGATGTTGATCCCAAGAATGCTGGCTCTGATGGCAGTGCAAAGGCAAAGGGCAGCCTCGAGATCAGCAAGGCCTTGGATGAGAGTACAACATGGAGTCACCGGAGGATTTCCGACGGTGGCGTTAACCAACCCACCGAGCACATTAGCGCATACTCCTATTTTAAGAGCATCCCTAGGGCATCTAGCACCTGTGCCAGTTCCAGGGCTTGGAGTACCACCCCCCGCCGCCCCCACCGCCCCGAGGGCTGGGACGTGGCCTTGGCTTTGGGTTAGGGCTAGGGCAAGAGCCACAAGCACTTACAAGGGCAAAGAAAAGAAGGTTGACAACAAGGAAGAGGGCAAGCGAAGAGGAAGTAGTTTTGGAAGCCATATTAAAAGGTTTTGGTATTATTATTACTTTCAAGTATGTGTGCAGTGGAAAGGCTGATGGAGTTCAATGTTGGGAGTGAAGGGGTTTTTATAGGGTTGAAGAGCAAGGAGTCTCAACAGATCAAAATATATAATAAACAAAAAAAAAAAAACATTGAATAAATCCAAGGGAACTACCATGCATTTTGTGTTTTGAGATATTAGCTGGCAATATTTGGGCAAACTTTTGGATGTTTGTAAGGTAGGGACAAGCAAATTGTCATGTTCTTTTGCCTCTTTGGCTGGGCATGCATTCATCTGTGGGATATCTAATAATAATAACAATTCTCGAGTTCTGCAATGATTTCTAGTAATAATTTTGACTATATATTTTACATCATTAATATTTGTTACAGTGCATATATATCTACTGCAGCAAAATAAAGACTTTGGTTTCAATTCAAACCACTGAAGTGCGGGGGAGTGGGGCCCAAACGATCACATGTTGTGGTGGTATTTCAAAGTGTGTCCCACACTACAACACTCCAGGCCCGCTGTTTTGCAGATTTCGAAAGTTGAGTTCAATTTGATCGGTGGAGGTTTTATTACGTGATCTTTGACGACGCATATATATATATATATATATATAATTAACTAGCAAAAACATGATATATATAACCGAATTGTAATTTGTTTCACTGATTCCTCAAGATCGTAATCACAATTGTATGGAACTTTCCTAGTTTCAATCAGGCTAGGCTAGTGTACAAATATATATATATATATATATATTCATTACTGCTGAGGACAAAAAGGTTATAGAAGAATATTGTGGATAACCATTATCTCCCAAAGTCACCGTCATATGATCATCATATTCTTAGAGTTTGGAGGCATCCATATGTTGATTTCAGTGCTCTCTGTATAAATTATGAACTGTACAATATTTTTACATTTTATCTCTATACGTACTATGCTTGGTCTTTTTCCAAGGATTCTCATGTCAATGAAATATAATCCAATTTACGTATTAAATTATTTTATATAATTACAAACCCTAATAATACAACAAAACAGAAAAAAAAAAAGAAAAAACTAGTTAATAGCAATAAAGAGATTGATAATTACGCAGTTACTTGAAAAGAGATGTAGATATATGGTTGTGTTTCAGACTTAATTTGAAAAAGAATGTGCTGGACTGTTGATGATTCCGAAAAAAAGGCTTGTGCTCTTGGTGCCCACTGAAAGGTAGTCAAGTTACGGGAGGAAAAAAAAGGCAATATCCCTATATTATTTTGTGCTGCTCTTTTTTTTTAATTGATAATTACGCAGTTACTTGAAAAGAGATGTAGATATATGGTTGTGTTTCAGACTTAATTTGAAAAAGAATGTGCTGGACTGTTGATGATTCCGAAAAAAAGGCTTGTGCTCTTGGTGCCCACTGAAAGGTAGTCAAGTTACGGGAGGAAAAAAAAGGCAATATCCCTATATTATTTTGTGCTGCTCTTTTTTTTTATATTATTATTATTATTATTATTATTATTATTATTATATTATTATATTATTATATTAT